GATTTCTCAGCCTCTTTACCTAAGTGCTGCCTTGTGGAAGAAGATGAGAGAGGCAGCATGTGGGCCTGAGCAGTGGTCACAGGGCTGGAGGCTGTGGTTTCCGGGGTGCAGAAGTCTGCCTGGATCACTTCAATGGCCTCTGTGTAGCCCATCTGTCGCAGGGCCTCCATCAGCTCTTTGATGGTGCCCCCAGAGACCTGGTAGGAAAATGGAGAGTATGTTCGTGTTCCAGCCCCTTCGCAGACATCTATCCCTTCTTCCCTGTGTCTGCTCCAGAGAGCCTGGTGGGTCTGGGGAGTGCAGAGAGAGGAGTACCCGAGGAAATACAGTGTTTAAGTTCTATTTCCCATCTTGGACCAAAAATCACTCAGGAAATCACAGGAGAGATGGAGAGGGAGAGGAGAGGGAGATGGAGAGGAGGATGAAAGACAGGGAAAGAAAAGAGGGGCAGGAGAGAGAGAAGCTTGTGAGTTTACTGACGTAGGGAGACTGCTTGCAGTGACATCTGGGCTCAGAAGTCAGGGAAGACAGTGGCTAACAAGGACAGCCTCATGCACAATAATCTCCCCATGGTTTTCTCCTTTTTGGTTTAGAATTGTTCCAATAGGAGTCACCTCATGAACCCATGGCCCTGGGTCCCCCTCTTGGAAACAGGGGCTGTGCACACCGATCAGAGCTTAGGTCCCCGTTGTGTGGTCAGTAGCATTTTGTGCAGGAAGGCTCTGAGGACGTGGAAACAGGGCATGTCTAGAGGCAGGTGGCCAGTCTTCTCAGGAAGACAGGCTTCCATCCTACCCTGGGTCCCTTTTGCCTCCCAGCGCCCTAGGCGATGGCTGGCTTTCTTCCTCAGAATTACTTCATAGAGGAGGGATTGTGCCCTGGTCAGTGATGCTAGTGGTCAACCACGAACAGTCACACAAACAACTACAAATGGCAGGTGGCGCCTTCCTTACCTCATAGTTGTCCATCAGAGTTTTAGAAGGGGCAGGACTCAGCCGGAAAGCATTATTTAGGATCCCCAGACCTAACTTCTGTGCCAGAGTGGCCCAGTTTTTGTCTGGATCAGGGATCTCCAGCAGCTTGTAGAGCTGCAGCCTTGTGTCTTCTGTCAGCTGCTTCATGTCTCCTAAGGAAGAACCACAGCGGCTTTACCCTTCCAGGGACAATCAGTCGGAGAGGATCCGTCATTGTCATTTTGCTCCCCAACTTCTGCTGGAAGCAATGAAGCTTCTAGAAAGTCCAGAGCCCCAGCTGAGTAGTGGCAGCCTATGCTTGTATCAGATCAGGGCCAGGCTCCCCCCTTTCCCATCCCCCAGGACTCTGACTCTGAAATAAGAACCGGACCTTGTGTAGCACACCCTGTAACCATTCCCAAAACCCCGCCCCCATAATCCACAGCATGGGGCGCTCTGACTCTGAAATAAGAACAGGGCCTTGTGTAGCAAACCCTGTAACCATTCCCAAAACCCCGCCCCCATAATCCACAGCATGGGGCGGAGGGTGGGGGCTACACTGGCTGAGAGAATCTGCTCGGCCACAACTCACCTTGTGGTAGTACATCATCAGATGTGAACACAGGCTCATATGGTTTCCCATTCAGTATGTCAAAGACCTGTTAGACAGAAGAAAATAGGAAAATATTTCCATAAATGACGTTTAAAAGTCCTTAACCACAAGCTACCCTGGTGTTCTCTGAAGTTCCTCTGCTGGTTGTGCACAGGTTAGGACCATCACAGGTCACTGTGGTGGGTCAGTCTTCTGTGTTCCCTGCAGGGACACCCAGGCCAGCAAACAGGTTCCCAGGAGGCGTGCAGTATAGCTGAGGCGCTGTCGCACCCATACAAACTGACTGTCTCAGATCCTTCACTGTGTACTCTGCCCTCTGGCTCTTTTCTCTTGGCACAAATCCCTAGTGACTGCCTCCTCCTTTAAGTTTAACCACTGCTGAGTCTTAAGGAAGGGTTTTAATGTGTTGATGGAAATCCACAAAGGAATTCCTAGTTTATTTTTATGCTCAGAAACCCTTCATGCTAGCTTCTGATGGAGATGGCAAGGTTCTGGTCCCGTGCACTGAAGGGGTGACTCTTCTGTGGGTTCTGTGCTTTTCTAACTTCTCCCATCTCAACTCTGATCTGATTAAGCAAACAGCTTCACACTCAGGCCTCAGCTGACCTAGATCTCTCCTGGATAGGCATTTCAAGATAAATACGCCTCTTGCTCAGCAGACTTCATACAAAGACACGTTCTCTAAAGAGGAGAGTGCCAACAAGACCATCTGTTTTTAACATTCCTGAGCCACCGGCTCCCCCCAAACACCATGAAATGAACTGGGCAGGGCTCACCTGAGAGTTGGCAGCCATGTCCAGGGGTGTGGTACCTGGCACCACTCCCTCATCCTCTCCAGCCTTCTCCCAAGAGTCGTCCAGGTCATAGAGAGGCTCAAAGTTCTCCACCAGGGGGTCTGCTCCTATGGAATCAGGCAATATGGTGTTATGTAAAATCCAAAGCTTGTCAATTCCCAACTGCACACACAGTCACATTTCTAAGGGCAATTTCATCGAGCTCACAGAGGCAATTACATGTTAATGTTTATTTCTAGTAAAATTGAAAATGGCTTTTTAAGTTTTAACCTACTCTTACTGAAAATCTACCAAAGGATTTTTCTATAGCCAAGGACATGATTACAAACAAAGGACATCAAATACTCTGACTTGCAATTCTGTAGGATGTATTTCATTGAATGATGTACAGGTGGCAACTTACAGGGACCAGGATGCACCTTCAGGGTTAAGTCCTGAATCTTCAGATCTACATCTACCAATGCACACATCTCACCTGCTTCTCTGTCTTGCTCAATACAGCCAGTCTGCTGGATGTCTTGCTGCCCTCGGCAGCCTGGTCTGCTCTATTAGAATGTAAGCACAACACGGCCAGGAGTGTGATGGGGAAACGGGTTTGAAGTCCTGAGGGCCACACATGGTCCCTTCAGGATGTGACCTTCAGGATGCCAGCCTGGGCTTTTTGTCTTTGCATCACACAAGCTAATATTTGCTATCTTTTCATGGTGAATTCAAGTAAAAACCTTTACATTTGTAAATTATGCTTTTACTTCTGAAACAGTATGTATCTTTGGTTGGCTCAGAACTACATGGACCAAACTGGCCAAAGCTTGTGGCAATTCTCCTGCTTCAGCCACCTGAGTGTTGGGATTACAGGTGCACAACACTATGTCTGGCTAAGAGACATTTTTTTTTTTAAGTATAATCATTGACTTCTAAAATGACTCACATGTACTCAACTGGGGCTCCTTGGGTAAAACAAAGTACAATTTAACTAAGGAGAAAAAGGCTGTTGCTTATTTTACTTTGTTTTTCTACCTTTACTACACAATCCATATATAATTCAGTTTGCTTGAATCTATGAAGAATGTGCCTTCCACAAATCTTTTCCAAAATGACTTCTGAAGTAAATTAGGTATGTCTCAACAGGCCAGAAATGACAATCTCATCAGCCATGTGTTAACACAAAAGCACAAGGCAGTGGAGACCAGATGAGCTGGAGAATTTCCTTATGCTTTACAGGACTAGAGAGCTACCTAGAAGATTGCCTTAGGAAGAAACACCGGGCAGAGGATAAAAGTCTGTAGGTCCAGGCTGTGGCACTGTGACTCATAGCTGTCTAGGACACTGCAAGTAGGGCCTGCTCATCTTTCCGGTCTGTCTTCTTGGCAGTAAAATGGGATTAACAACAACAGTACTGATCTCAGAGAGTTACTGCGGATTAAGTGTGGTAAAGGAGAGTGTATGTGGGAGGCCAGCACGGTGCCTGGAACACAATAAAGGCAGCGAATGCTAGCAAGCTTTAATGTTTCATGACGTGGCCATCAAGGTAAACCCTCGGATTAAGTGTGGTAAAGGAGCGTGTATGTGGGAGGCCAGCACGGTGCCTGGAACACAATAAAGGCAGTGAATGCTAGCAAGCTTTAATGTTTCATGACGTGGCCATCAAGGTAAACCCAGGATCACAGGGCCAGACAGAGCCTCTGCTGTAAGCAAAGTGTGATCAGCCAGGTAGCTCTCCTCTACCCACACTTTCCAGGAGCCCAACTGCAGCTAAAGGAGGAAGCTTTAGCTTTGCACCCTCAGGCAGAGTTTGCATGGCTGGTGTCCATGTCCATCAGTGACCGGCAGGCCATCTTACCTGCCGCTTTCAGAAGAGCTGCCAGTCTGGTGGAGCCTCTGCCAGCTGCTATATGTAGCGGTGTAGTCCCATCATAGGTGGTACTGTCCACGTGGGCATCGCCCTATATCCACCCACAAAGAAAGAGTGAGCAGAAGGCCCTCGTCTCCACTTGTCTCTACCGCCCCACCTGCGTGGCCTCTCTCTATCTGCATGGCCTCTCTCTCAGGTTATATCATTTGCACCATTGCTGGCTCTGTCATTGAAGAAGTCCCCAGTTAGAGAGGGGCTGGAGCTGGGGATGCAGGAAGTGGCCCCTCTGAACTCATGCAGATGCTAAGCAGGGCCAAATCCTGACAGCACAGCTGGCACTGGCGTCATTCTTTGAAAAGACTTCCCTAAAATTCCCTTAGGGATTTAATTCAAGATCACAAGTATGCCCTTTACCTCCAGAAGCAGGCAGCCAGCCAACGAGATGTTGTCGTACTCCACGGCCAGGTGCAGTGCTGTGCGCCCAGACTTCTGCTCCTGAGCATTGACTTCTGCCCCAGCAGCCACAAGCAGCAGTAGACATGGCAGGCTATTGCTCATCACAGCTATGTGAATGGCATTTAGACCTAAGGCCAAGCAAAGATTCAGATGTGGGCGGGACTGGCAAAACTGGACTGTGGGAAGGAGGGATGCCACTAGCTTGCAGCACTTCCGGTTTCTGTTCAGGACATGCTTCAAAGGCTCTGAAGGCCCACTGTTCTGCTTTTAGAATTCACAAGCTCCTATTATGCTCACAGGAGACACTGAGTTACTAAATAAACATTCTCCACATAAATGATACTTTCTATAGTTTAAAGCCAGTGTTTGCTCAGGCCTGCTTTTTCCACTTAATAAGTAACGCTCCCAAATCACCTTAATGGAGTTTGTTGTGGTAAACAGCAGAAATAGCCACAAGATAGGATGAACTCTGGTTGGCCAAGAGAACACTTGTGGGTCAAGGTCAAGGTCCACACATTTATCAAGCATCAAGCAATGTGGAGAAGCTGAGTGGGGAAGGTTATACAGCAATGCAGCTGCCCTTACCTTCCCCATTGGGGTGGTCTATAAGGAGTGTCGCCTTTCTGTTCTTGAGCAGGACACTGAGGATCTTGTCGTGCCCTTCTCTGGCAGCCAGGTGCAGAGCAGAGTTACCCCAGCGGTCCAGAAGGCTCAGGTCAGCCCCAACCCTCAGCAAGTCCTCCACCACATCTTCCTGCTTGGTGATTACGGCCAAGTGCAAAGGTGTCTAGTTAGAGAAAGGGCAGGAGAGTCGCTAGTTGGATGTGAACACCTGTAGCCCCTGGCTTCATAGTCATCACTGCAGCAAGAGTCGTACTTAGGGCCATTTGTCACTCCCAGATTAACTCTTGGCTTTGTCAGGGGCTTCCTGTTTCACATGGTAGGCTCATAGGCCCAAGGAGGGAACCAGCACGCAACAGTTAGAATTATAGGATAAATTTAAAATGCTTAGTACTTCTGCTTTTGTCTCAGTCCAATTGCTGATATTTTAATTCACCTAGAAGCAAATTTAGTTTTGTTTTTTTTTTAATTTTTTATCTACAGATGGTAATTCTGTATGTTGGCAAATCCAACCAGAGTTGCGGTTTTAATGAAGAAATGCAAATAGACATCAACAAAACAAAACAAAAAACAACCAACAAAGGTACCATCCTTCTACAGTGGCATGGAAATACATTTGCTAAATTAGAACACATTGCTGTGGGCTGGCTTCAAGAAGCCTACTGTTACAAGCTATACCTAACATCATCAAAGGTGTTCCTGGGTTCTAATTGGCATAGTTAGGACAATACAGCAGTCTCCCTAAGAAGGCTCAGGTAAAAAACAATCCCAGTTACTATACATAATAGGTAATGAAAGGTCTTTCTGAACACAACACTGTGCTTCCAGGGATGCAAGTGAGATGCCTGGAAAGCTGTTTCCAGAAATAAGCAAGACTAACACAATTATGAAAGTGTCTGTCAAAGAACCGAGATCACAGATAGAGAGTAACATTTCCTTCAGTACAAGCCTGTCTGCTTCCTAGGAGCGGCACAATGAAGTCCGGCTGTGCAGTGAGAACTTGCCCAACCTCCTATTCGTAGAGTAACATTTCCTTCAGTACAAGCCTGTCTGCTTCCTAGGAGTGGCACAATGAAGTCCGGCTGTGCAGTGAGAACTTGCCCAACCTCCTATTCAGGGAACAGTTCCTGGCTGGAGAAGCAGGGGAAGGTGGGCCACCAACACCCAAGTTGCCATGGCGATTTTTTAGGTTTCTAAATCTTAACCTCTATAAGATTATATCTTAAACAGTTGTAAAGCTGGAGCTCAAGTTAATCCTTAGGAGCTGTCTGTGGAGCTCAGGGCTCACACCACCCTAGGAACCCAACTTGTGACCCAAGGACAGAAGGACACAAGGCAGACACTCCCTGCAATGATGTGTATCCAGCTGAATAGTGAGCAGCTAGCTAGGGGGTGCTACAGTATTCTCTTTGGGATCAACAACAACAAACCAGCTGTACAAGGAACTGTCTGGGTGAATGCTGTAGAGCCAAGATCCAGTACAAGGCTGCTTACACATGTACGAATGTGCTCATGACTATTTATATGTTCATTCACTCATTTTAGAGATAGTTGCCTCTGTCACCCAGGCTGCATTTAAACATCTATGCTCAAGGACTCGTCCTGCCTCAGCCTCCTGAATAACAGGGACACAAGCATATACACCATGTTTGGATTGGGGAAAAAAACCCTACAGAGCTATCTATATGTACATGCATGCAAAATTAGTAAAATCTGATTCAGATGTGTGGATTGTGCCTGCTGCAATATCCTAATTGTAATATTGTGTTAGGCAGGACGTAACTGCTGGGAAAACCTAGGTAAAGGAACTTCCAGTTTTCTCAAAGGAAATACCCAGGTCCTTAGTTTAATTTCACAGTAACTATGAATCTGTAAATTATTCTATATTGAACATTAAAGGAAAGGCTAATGCAAAGTAGGAAATACATGTATAAAACAGTGTGGATTGTATATGAGTATACTAAAGAATGCATGTCCTTTGAGTGCACATGTATGAAGCCAACACCCAGGAAAGGAGTCTTCCTGCAAACATAATGGCTACATTTGGGGATAGGGAACTGTCAGAGTCTAGGCAAGGTAATTTTGAGTTCTTAAAATATATCCCTTTATGCTATTTAAAAATATACATATATTGAATTTATAATAGTTGAAAACATATAGCAAAAATAAGTGCATGGGAAGTACCCCATAACAATGTATTGGAACTTAAATAAAACAACCCATGCCAAACACTGGGAGGATGCAAGAAGAGAATACAGTTTAAAGAATGGTTTTAGAAAACGCCTTTCTACGCCACACTGTGGCATCAATGTGTGCCACTCTGGAGAGTGGCAGGGACAGAGATTTGATCATGACAGATGGTCTCAGAAATGTACTGTGATTAGTGAGAGGCATTTGGGGAGAATGTTTAAGATAATTTACAAATAATCCAAATTGCTTCGAGAACTGTATGGCTTTCTGTCAAGAATGGTTATTAAGTTAGGTGTGGTGGTTCACATCTGTAATTCCAGCTCTGGGGAGGTAGAGGCAGGAGGATTGCCATGAGTTTTGGGCCATTCTGGCCTATACAGTGAGTTCCAGTCTAGTATGGGTTATGGATCTTGTCTAAACAAAATAACAAAAGAAAACAGCTAACAATCTGGGTGTGGGGGCACACATTTGTAATCCCAGCACCCAAGAAGACGACTAAGGGGGGGCTGTCAGTTCCATGCCAATGTAGGCTACCTATCAAATTCCAGGCTAGGCTGGAACACAGGTATACCTCTCTCAAAAACAAAACAACTCCATAAAGCCAACAACAAAGCCCAACAGTACCAGAAAAGCCAGTATGTGCTTGAGGCTAAGAAGCCAGGGGCACACAGGGAATGCATAGGTTTTGTTCACTAGTAGTGCCAAGGTGGGAAAAATGGGATGGGGGTATGGAGGTGGGGGGGTTGCGAGGCGGAGGGGCTCCAAATCAGAGAGGCTTTTGCCTTCAGCACACTGGAGCGGCTCCATACATAGAAAGCTGGTTCCCCACAATCCTAGCTTCTAACCCCATTGACATTTCCCAGTTCTTTTTCAATTTCTTTTAAAATAGTGAATTTTTTCTTTAAAATGAGATCACATGCCAGGAACTGTGGCACATGCCTGCCCATCCTAGCATCCAGGAAGCTGAGGTTGGACACTGATCGCTCAGTGCCATCCTGGGCTACACAGTTGGGGGTGGGGGGTGGAGTCAGGAAGAGACAGACAGAGAGAGGAGGGAGCAAGGGAGGGAAGGAGATAGAGACAGACAGAGCACTCGGGGATGGGGTGGGGTGGGGAAAGAAATGGCAGGGGAGGGGATATGAAGAAGTGTAAACAATTTGTTTTAAAGACAGAGTGATTTGCAGCAGGGTATGTTCTCAGCTGTGGGGATAATCCCAAGCACCATCCCAGACATGGGCCATCAGAAATACACTCTGGTCAAGAGAGTACAAAGAGGAACATAAAAACTAACAAGAGGGCAAGACCAGCAGGATCCAGAGAGAGGGGACCTGAGGGGTAGGAAAGGGAGTGGGCTGAAGAGAAGGAAAGGGTGATGACAGGAGAGAGCCCTCAGAGCAGGCCACCATCTCGGCTCTGGCCTGGGCTCCCAGCAACCCATACACACGCACGCTGGTTCCACCTGTGGAGTTTCTAGTTTTTGCTTTGCCCTAAATCTGTATCTGGCCTCAGCTGGTTATGCTGTCTCCGGCAGTCCTCCTCACTTCTCAAACCCGAGTTGGACAGAACAGTGGTGCTCAAAGAGCTTCTTACTGGGGGCTATCTTCCTGTTCTTGTAACCTTTCATTGCTCCATGCTCTGGTTTCAGAACCTTTGCTTGATACACACTTGATAGAGTTGTTCAATACCTCTCACCAGACTCCAAACTCTTATAAAGTACTGGCTTTTCAACTTGATTTTCTTCACAGCTGTGACCCTTTTTTCTAGGTTCGCCTTCCAAGCTGTATCAGCTCTGAGTTTTAGAGCTTAGAGTTTGCCTTTCCCAGAGGGCGCTGGATTTCAGTGTGGGGTTATTGCTATCAAACCCATTTCTAAATGTCATTTAGAAAATGGCATTCCCAACTAAGGACACTTTAAAGATATCACCTATAAAAAGGTTTTCTTTTTTTCCTGTTATCATTACTAAAAACAGCATAAACACGTATTACAAAATGATGCCTTTTTCCTCAGTGACTGCCTTGAGATTTCTGCCTACCTGATACAGATCATTCCTCATGTTGATGATGTCAGCACAGATCAAACCAGATGTGACTTCTAGCAGATCCCTCACAAGCTGAGCATGAAGGTGGATGATGGCTAAGTGTAAGACACTGGAATGAAATACCGTGACAGTAGTTAACTAGGGGTTAACAAAGGAGAGGAACCAAAGTTTTCAAGGAATGATTGGAAATGAAGACCGAATCCAGCTGTTATTCATGGATTTCTTTGGCCTCACTATGTTTTAGATCTGCAAAATGTACTTATCTGAGGTGACATGCTTTCTCTCCCACTGCCTATCCCAGGCTATGACACTCACTGATGGAGCCTACCTGACTCTGGCAGTGTTCTTGTCTGACTCAACACATCCAGTGCAAAGGCGCCCACCCTGGCTGGAGACCAAACGGTCCTCCTTCAGGCCAGGTAGTTCTCCCCTAAATCTCCCTCATGGACAGACACTGAGCAAAAGTAAAGTCCAGTTAAGAACAGCTCAGAACAACTTAAGTTGCCCAGCTCTCTTCCTCTGAAACAATGTGAAGTGGTTTTTATCTTTAAACAAGGTCTTGTCATTTAGCCCTGAAATCATTCTTTCAGAAATACTCAGGGAAGATCATGATTTGCTTTTTAGACGCACCCCCATGCCAATATTAAGGCCAAGGAAACCATATACACTTTGATGAGAAACAATCCAGCCTACACCCCAGGGCTTCCCTGTTGCTCTGGGTGGAATGCTGGCAGAAGGCGTTTAGGAAGTGATGTAGGCGTGACGTTCACACATTGAGTAAAGGGCATGCTTCAGAAGATGCCTAAACATTTCCCTGCGCAGCTCAGCATCTCACAGAAGTGCACCCCCTCCCCGTCAGCTCCTCACACCCTCCTGGGAATTCCCCCAAAGCTAGAGGATTCTATATTTTTTCTTTATTGTTATTTTCTACGATGACTAATAGTCACGGGGCTCAGATATCAGCCCAATATGACAAGCTGAACGAAGATGAGAGGCCAGAGTGCTCTCTTGTCACACCCACGGCCTCTCAGGGAGCCTGCTTGTATCTGTATCCTGCATGGACAAGGAAGGCCACTGTCTCAGCTGTTCCTCATCAAAGTCATCAATTCAGTGGGCCCTTAAAGATGCCACCTGAAGCCCCTGTGTCCTGCCTTGGTTAGCTGCTCTGTTTCGTGGTTATTTGCTATTGAATGTTAATTGGATGCTTCCCCCAAAGACGCCTTCTGCTAGTCAGGGCTGTACACAGAGAAGGTTGTCTGGGTTCCTCTTGTACTGTAGAACAAGGCCAGTGGTTATACCACATCCTTGGTTATGCCACAAGCAACGAGGACAAAGGTCTCTGTATGAAAGCCCTGAGGTTGGCACGCTCCTAATGCATTTAGTTTTAAAACTGAGACTTCACACAGCAGTCCGGGATGTTTCCACAGAAAGGGACTTCCAGGGTTGATGCTATTTTAGGATCTTCAGATAAAGCACTTGAACCTCAAGACTGCTGTCGCTGGCTATTTTTATAGGCCTCTAGATCAGTTCAGAAGTCTCAATGAAAGGACTAAGAACTGCTGAGAAGGGAGCCAGGTGGCTTTGCAAACAGAACCTCAGGAATGGACAGGAGGCGTGGTGTCTGGAATGTCAGACTCCCACGCAGCCTGGCCTGGAGCTGAGGCAGAGTCCAATCCACTCACAAACTAGTGAATATTAACAGAGGCCTCAGAGGAGGAGCCAGTAACTAGGAAGGAAGGAGTGGCATTTCCTCTTATTTACTGGACTGATAGACATTGTTGTCTTTACCAGGACCTTCCTTGGGTACACTAGATAATGCTTCAGGGACTTGGCAGGGCTGCCAATCATTCTCTCAATTATTTTAATAACTAAAGGAAGGGTTTCAAAATCAACACACTATCCACACATCTGAGTCTTCTTGCCTGGAGAGACACCATACTTTAGGGCTTGTCAGATGAGAGCAGAACTGGAGAAGCAGACTGTTTCGACTCCAGCTCCTGGGAGCATCCCCTTCTAGCCAGTGTGCCCACGTCTCTCCTCTCCCTACCCACACAGTGCCTGCTCTTCAGCAGCCCTGATTTCACTCACCTGTCCCCATTCTCATCCTGCACCGTGGTGAGATGGCGCTGCACAGCCAGCAACATCTTCACGTCTCCTGTCATCGCATAGTCGAAAAGGGCATTGGCATGCCTCTTGGCAAGCTGTAGAGCCTTCTCAAGAAAGAGGTTATCTGCAAGGCAATGTCCACAACCACAGCTGAGTCTCACTCGCTCGCCCTACACGCATGGCATGGCACACCATTTTAGTTGAAAATGCTCCTTTTGGTGCTTCTGGATTGGGGCGACTAGAAAAAGCACAATTGGGCATTGTCTCACTGACAGATAATAGAGTCAAGAGATTGATTTCCAAGTGTCTGTGGGCCGTGAGGAACCATTTAGAAACACCTGCTATTTTAAGGAAAATACTCAGTGCCTATGGCTTAGGGAAGTAATCAATCTCAGGGGAACTGGATTTTGCCATGACTTTAAATAATCAACTATTTTATAAGCTAATTCTCTTCTGAATCCAGTCTGAGTCAACGTGAAGAAAAATGCCCTCTGGCCCCAGACATAACCTTGGAAAGCCACTGGTGTCTTTGAAAAATTCATTCTCCTAAGGTCAAGGGATAGCAAACTATGACCTCAACACAGAGGGTACATCTAACTTGCTTTGATATGGTCCCATGGACAGACATTGTGCATCTCAAAGAAGGTATTTAAAGAAGCAGAGGAAGGAAAATACGGAATAGTAACTGTATGTGGCCACCATGTCTAAATAGTTACTCTCTCTTTCTGGATGATGTCTGGCCTGGAGTTATGACACATACGCCAATGAGGCCTGTTCAAAGGAACCATTTCCTTTAAATTCTGCTTCTTCAAGGAGGGCAGGAGAACAAAAAGAACAGCCTCATTTTGGGGCAGACTTCTTCAATATGGCAGCTGAGCTGGCTGCTGGGAAGGGTGGAAGAAGGATGTGGATATGCTTCTGTATAACCGGGGACAAAGTGTTGCCTCATCTAATGTCCAGAACTGCATGGGCCTGGGCAATGTACACACAAGTTTCTGCATGAAGACGCTACGTGGGAGGTACAGGGCACCTTGCAGAGCACTCAGACCAGATCCTGACCCACCCTCTTTAGATTAACAGGAAGGAAACCCATGCTCTGGAGACAGCTTCCTGTACCTAGAGGGTCACCCGCCCCAGCTGCCCGTGGAAACCCTTGTGGGCACGCTCACCTACCCCGAAAGCCAGCGCCCCATTCCTTGTCTTCCATGGGGAATGACAGTGCAACTGTATCACTCTTGGTGCTGGACACGCCAGACTCCTTATCCTGTCCTGCTGTTTCCTTCTCAGAGAGATTCAGAGCCTCTCTGTCGCCACTCTTGTCACAGTCTTTAGGGTTATTTTTTGATTCTGTGTTTATGGTTCCTAGGATAAATGCAAAAAATTATCTTTTCCTTAATAAAATCTATTCATCAAACTATAAAACTCATAGTTTCAACACAGGGCAGAGAAAAGAAAGAAGGCAGGTTTGTTGAAAATGGAAAGGTATAAATCTTCATAACATAAATAGTATGTTCTGGACATATTTTCCATGTATTTATTTATTAATTTATTTACTTTTGGAAACAGGGTCTTGCTGTGTAGCTCTGGTGGGCCTCAAACTCACTATGTAGACCACATTGCCTTGAATTCACAGAGATCCTCTTGCCTCTGCCTCCCCAGTGCTGGGATTAAAGGTGTGCACCACAACACCCTGGCATGTTTTGGTAATACTTTAAGTATTCAGGAACATTTTAAAGCTCATTTTCCAAAAACTCCCATCTCATTTTGCAGCCAGAAACGGCTACTCAAACCCATAATCTCCTCACTCGCACCCAGGAGACAGAAGCAGGAGAAGCACCACAAGGCCAAGGTTACACAGTGCCATGCTTTCTCAAACAAAAACAGTGAATGAATCTTGTCTTGTTTATCTGTGAAAGAGAAAAATGAGATAAAGTTCTACATGCTGAACAAATGGAAAGTTCTTGAAAGTAGTTATTTTTCTTTCTGAATGTGGAGTAACAAGGGAAACTGTGAGAGCTCTCTCCACTCATAGTCTGGCCTGGTGGGGCTCCCACACTCCATGTTCAGTCACACTGTTGTTGGAACTGTTATGTGGCAGGTACAACAAGGGTACCTAAGACTCCTGGGCAAACCTGGTACAAAACTACCACAGTTCTACCGCCACCAGCGCTGTCTTCAGAGAGTAAATAAAAGTTTCTGAACTCCATGTTCTGTCTGGACAGGGCCAAGTCTTGTGTTCTCCTTGCACAGGGGTCATGAAGTCATGGTTAATGGGAACAATAGTTCTATTTTGTAGGGTGAGTTTTAGCTGATTATAGGAAAACTACAATGTCAGTTAATCTTTAAAAAAGGTTACAGTGATGTCTGCATCTGGCATGAACAGGTACTACATATGAAAAGGCATTATAGGATAATTTCCATGGCATAAAAGAATATCCCTTCCTGTAGACTATGAGCAGACTTTAAGCACAGGTACTCAGAGGATACATGGGAGTGGAAACGGCCAACCTTACAAACTGAAAACTGATTTCAAAAGGATCGTATTTGAGGTGAAAAGACAGAAGAGGTGGTATTTTTATGTTTGGGTAGTTAAGCCTATATTTTTTGCATTGCACCACTGCCCTACTTCCATTCATGCAATGTAATGAATAAATACATGTTAGAAATATGTGTTATGCTGTCCTAGAATTATACAAAAATATTAATTTATTGGAAAGTTATTTTCTAAAACTTTTAACGATGATGCTGTAGTCCCTGTGTTTTTCTTCTTGGTGTTCGTCTGACTTACCATGGGTGATCCCAGAGTTGGATTTAGTGGCTCCAGGGTGGAAAGTGATCCCACTGTAAGGAGGAAATCCGTAGTGCGAGAAGCCATACCCTAAGCCAGCAACGAGACAAAGGGAACATCAGAGAGGCTGTTAACAGACGGGGCACACACTCGGGGGAGCAGCCTACACAGGCTTCGCCCAAGAGTTAGCAGGATGCACTGTGGGAAAAAGACAGGTGAGTTCCCCTGTGGCAACACAGGCAGGGCTCAGACTTGGCAGCTTGGAGGAGTTAATACTGAGAAGCTTCTTTCCGCCCAGGCAAAGGGGAAAAGCAACGGCAAGTAGTCAGGCCAAGACTTAGAGCTACATTAAAATAGCTCAATAAGATGACCCTGGTGAGAAACCCCAATACAATAATGTACTGATGGGAAACATGGCTACCACTTTCATTTTCATTATTTTTGGTGGAAGAGTGATAAAGCTCTTCAGAGGAGCAGCCTTCACACACTCTGATGTGACAGTTTGAAGCATTTACAAGTTATCTGGAATAAAAGGAAAGCCATGCTCAGCAAAGCATATCACACAGAAAACAGGAAACAGCATTCAAGTCAGTTGTGCTATAGGGTTTTCACTCCATCTGGTATGGGTCATTAGACACGATACCCAATGATGCTCTGTAAGACCTGTATTACCATGAAGAAGTGCTCAAGCTAACATCAGAAACAAACACCAAACCCATCATTCTGCACCCACAAACATGGTGTAATGATAATAAATCTAAATAAATTAATGGTTGAAAAGCCATGCATGGGGATCACAGCCATACCCGGAAGCTCATAAGCACGGACTGTAATATATGCGTGTCAAAATTAGAAGTAGTTCGTTCACATACCATCACAGTGCTTTCCTGCTAACCCTGCAGAGGTAGGATTTTCTGTGACTCAATGTGTTACAGTGTAATCTGCAGTCTGCAGTGCCATGCAGAGGACTATAACACACATCTACCATGGAACAGGTATGAGAGTTGTTTGAATGTCTCCCAGAATAACAGAACAATTGACCCTCTTAAAAAAAGTGTGGTGGACCGGGCGTTGGTGGCGCACGCCTTTAATCCCAGCACTCGGGAGGTAGAGGCAGGTGGATCTCTGTGAGTTTGAGACCAGCCTGGTCTACAAGAGCTAGTTCCAGGACAGCCTCCAAAGCCACAGAGAAACCCTGTCTCGAAAAAACCAAAAAAAAAAAAAAAGTGTGGTGGGGGGAGGATACTCAAAACTCATTTGGGAAAGGCATCATCTGGATAAATGTGGACTCTCAGACTTTTGGAGATTACCCACATATTATCCTGAGATGTATGGTTCAAGACTCCCCTAAAACTGCAGCTGCACACAGACCTGTGGTAAAGTTCACAGTGCAAAAAGACAGGAGACGAACAACAATAATTCATAGTAACAGGGCAGTTGTAACAATAGGCTGTAATAACAGCTCCGTGCATGTGGTCTCTCTCGTCGAGACAATGGTAGTATTTTTAGACTGAAGCTTGACCGCGTGTAACTGAAACCACAAAAAGTGAAACTGGATGGGGGAGGACAGCTACTGTACTGCAAGATGAACACACATTTCTTTGAAAAATTTGCCATTTGTAGGAAGACTTCTATTAATTGGAAATTAATTGGAAATCTCTTAATTAGTAATGTTGCCGCCCCTCAAGCAGCAGACATGCCTGGAAACCGGGGAAAGAAAACTGTGCCCTCACCCACATGAAAAGGCGTTAGATAGAAGACACTTCTCGTACCTGGGCCAGGACTTCCGGTACTCCCTCCACCACCGCCACTACCGAACATGCCTCCACCGCCCGCTCCGGCTCCACTGCCACCGCCGAAACTGTCCGAGAAGTTGGGCATGAGCTTCTGGCGTTTCCTCTGGACTTCCTCTTTGTCTGTATTTACAGGAAGGGAAACCAGAGGGGAAAGACTGGTTGGGTTCCACTAGCAGCCACAGAGTCACTATTGATTCTCATGGTATTTTTAAATGCCTTAAAGGGAAATAGAAGGTGTCCAAGGAGGAAGCAGGATATTTATTCCAATGGGCATGAAGACCAAGAACCAGCCTCAGAGACCACAGCATGGCATACACCCAACTCCTGAGTGCCTGGTGCTAAAAAGTTGGTGAAAGAGCTGATTACTCCTAAAGATTTAGGTAACCCAAAGTGCACAATCTTTTTTTTTTAAAAAAAAAGCACTTTTATTTATTTATTTTGAGATAGGGTCTTACCGTATAGTTTTTTTTAAAAAAAGCACTTTTATTTATTTATTTTGAGATAGGGTCTTACCGTATAGCCCTAGCTGCCTGGAACTTACTATGTAGATTGGTCTGGCCTCAAACACACACAGATTCAACCTCTGTCTCTTGAGTGCTAAGATTAGAGGCATGCACCGCCATACTCAGCTAACAGTCTTGTTCTCCTAAGGCAAGTATGGTGAACCAGCTAACGTGTATGTATTATGTGCACACACTGAGCTAGGTTCTGGGAGAGAGATGTGTGGCAGGACATCTTTGCTGTCATGGACCCTTCATCTCAAATGGAAGGCAGAGGCAGACAGTGTGCATGTGAAACTCAATGGAGTGGATCCATGGTCTGTCAAACCAAAGCCTTCTGCTAGAAGAACAGGGGATATTCTGGGGAGAGACCATGGAGGGATTTCTCAAAGGATTAACATGGATGGGCAGCTTTGGATAACAAAGGCAAGCATTTTGGTTGGAGTGAAAAGTTAGGATAAGAAGTTCTCTAGAAGGTGGACTGGGATCACCCACACTGGGGAGCCTCGGGAATATGAACCGAAGGGACGGTATTTTGGGGAGCTACATCTGTCACTGTGTATAGGATTTTATAGAAACTCGAAGGAAGACTGCAGACTCCAGTGAAGCAATGGAGATCTTGTTCCTTACGGGCTATTGTGACAAGAGAAATAGGGGTGATCCTGGAAACACAGAGAAGGCCTACAGGTTCTGCAACTGATGGTTTGGTCCCTAGAGTCAGACTCAAATACAGAGATCATCCCTGGGCCAGGGGCCTGTCCAGATCTTGGGTATCTTGAGACTGGTCTGCTGATCCTCGTGGGGTTCTGTATTCCGTGTTTTTCACTGTGTGTG